GAGAAAAAAAGAATGAATGTTACATTTTGATCTTGACTCCTCCCAAGACAAGGTTGACAGGTGTCCGCCTGGCATCAAATGGACTGGTAAGATAAAACCATGCTACTACCTGCTACAATTCAGCAAAATAATGTGAAATGGGGAAAAAAAAAACCCCAAACCACCCTGCGCTCTGTGGGAGAACTGAAGTAATGCTGTACTAGATTCGATTTTTTTTATTTTAAGGTTAAGTAATATATACTTAATACGCCCCCTTCTGATGAAAGGCTGTTAAATTTTCAACAAGATTGATTTCATTTTCTCAAACACAGCAAGGAAGAATTGGGACAGTTTCGTACTACACGAGTTGGCTCTCAGCACAGGTATGTTTTATTTGAAACGATGCTCTGCAACCTGCAACCTTATATAGCGGGCACACTTGCCCACGGCACCTAACAGCTCATCAGCACCAAAAGGGGAGTTTTCTTGTGCTTCCCTCCCTGCTCCTGCCCAGGCTGTTCCATGGCTTATCCTCTTACGGGTTCCATTACATAAAGTCGGCTACCTGGGGAAGTTCACAGCCTAGGTTCATTTTTCCCCAGACATCTGAAGCTTTATTGATTTTAAGGCAGGATTTGGGGAAATTCCAGTACGGTTCCAACACAACAGCAACACCGTCTATCAGTTAACGTTCAAGGGGACCGCTTCGTGCATCTTCCTTAAAGCGGTCATTTACACAAGAGTGCATATGCAAACTCTTAGATATCGCACAGATGAAAACATCTGATGCTAACTAATTACTGACTTTTTTTTCTTAAGGTAACAGAAGCAGCACTAGGCTATCGGCTTTCAAACTGGAAGTCCTGATTAAGACTGCAACTACAGTTTTCTACTTGCTACTCACTCCCTGCATTACCACCTATCTCTTGAAAAGTATATTTTCAACAGTATCAAGAACATGGTTAAGAATAAAAAATTACACCACTTAGATTGTGAGTTGTCATAGTCAATGCAGGAGCTACAGAAACATCCTTTCATAATCAAGATTTATTTGGCCTTTGTTTGGTGATCACAGACACTATGAACAATTTCACAATTGTTTTTATTCACATAGTTTTTTAAATCTAAAAACTATTAATTCTGTGGGTTTTTTTTCCTAAGACTATTTCAAATATTTTTCGTTTGCTCTTTGTAAACAAGCTGTCCTTTAAAACTGGATGTGAAGTTCCAGTATCTCGAATATTGACGTAACAAGTTATGTCTGCCAAGCAGAAACTTTTACTTAGTCAGTATTTAAAGATACAATAAAGGTTTCCAATCTTTCCCATCACAGCTACAAAGTTGTTGGAAAAAATAAAGCTGCAACTACCAAAAATAACTCTGTCACAGATATACATCACTCAGCAAGAAATCCAACACTAGGGAGCAGTTTTATTAGGTAAGCAATTCTACTGGTGGTACAACCATAGATAAATAACTAAAGTGTTAAGACATTCTCAACATATCATTATGAATTCCAAAGTCTGATCTGCATTATGCTTCATTTAGTAGGATACAAAAACTGTCCCTCATAGTCTATGGAACGTGAAGCCTAATCGAGGCTTCAAAGCCCTCTCCTTAATGTAATATGCCATTAATTTCTGGTTTCATAGAAAACAAGACAACCAGTACATGATTTTACCACTTAAAAAAAGCATTTACACTTATCTAAATATGTAAAAAAAAGGGTTGAGTTGGGATTCTCTCCTTTTTAAAAATGTGTTTTCTAGAACTACTAAAAAACTTGCATTTACAAAATAGTTGATAAAAATATTCCTCTGAATTGTACAAGAAGAAAGGTATAAGGACCACCAATTGAAGACTTGGTACCAGATGTTACTCAGACTTGGCTTCTTTCTCTACTGCTGCGTCGGATGCTGGGGTCTGAAAAGAAGACAGAGAACACTTCAATGCAGAAAGTTTCTAGGTGACCCAGCCTCTTAGTTCGCAGTATTTTTAATGCACAAGTTAGCTAACTTGACATACAGAATGACCACGACTTCTTTCTACATACCGCACTTCACGGTCTCAATAAATCGGAGTCATGATCTGCTTATTTCTCTTGGATAACGACCTACTAAAAACAAGCTGTCTTGAAAAGGCATCTGTCTCCTCAGATGCATCAGTATGAATTTCACAATACTGTTACTACTCAACACACACCGGAAAGGATTTTTTTTTTTTTTAAAGAACAAAGCCCATTTCAGTAATTACTGCCTTTGTGACAGGAAAAGGGGGCTTTTTAACCTATGAAGCTAAAATCCCTGCATATAGGGTGTTTAGAAAAGACACTAGATACACTTCATACATTTCAATTTCAGTGCAGCACTGTTAATGTATTCTCAAATCCTACCATGTTTTAAAGCAACTAAGTCTTAGAAACACACTACTGCATTAAATCGAACGTAATTGTGTAAAAATACATTCAGTGAAACTGAACTGTAGCAGCAGAGCTATGCCGTCTTCAAGTCAAGTCTCTATATGCTGTACCTCAACTTCAGAACAAGTTCATACAAACTTACTTGATTAAAATCTCAACCCCATTTAGGTGGGAAAACTCGCTGCATTTGCAATGTAGGTTAAAAAAAGGAATGCAATCTATGCATTAGCATAAAAATTATACTTAATTATTCCGCAGCTTTGCGGCACCACCAGCGGAATAGATCGTTTAATCACAGTAGTACCCGAACAGGAACCCTAACACCCGTTCAGTCTTTACTGCCACCTGGGGGAAGCTGTTGAGGGATGAAGTACGGAAGCCATTTCCATTCGGAGGCGTTCGTCTCTCTGAGTGTCGCCAGAAGTCGTCACTGGCCCTTCACCAGACCGTGGATTAACAACAGCATCACTGACACTACTGTCCTGATTGAAAACAGTAACGTCCAACAGGACAGACTATACCTCTGCCTCTTCTAGGCTTGGGTATTGTATTAAACCTGCCATTTTGGCTGGTGTGACCGTGAGACCAGCGTGACGACGTGCCCCAGAAGTCACCATCCGTTCCTTGTAAATTTACACCATCTCTGCACTAGCGTACTAACTAGACCCCAGTGGAGACACATTGCCAAATTTAACTTTCGCTGGTATTGCTGAAATACTACATGCACAAATTAAAAGACGAAATTATGCGATAGTAATACAGAGCCAGAGCTACGCAGAAAGTTAAACCAACTAAAGAATTCCTAGTTATAGCACAACGTTTTCCACAAAGCTTGCAAATGAAAAACCGTTGCCCCACAGTAAGTTGTCTTGTACACTCAAGTACTGTCCTGTACCTTCCTCACCTGCCAAAACGCATCATCTACCTAAAAAACAAACACTCTTTTGCTCTACTTGAAGATCTGACTGCACACTGATCGATCAGCGTGGTAGAATTCAGATGAGACTTTTTTTCCATCTTAAAAAAATGACTTTTCAATGCAACAACCAGACAGGAAGCATGAATCACACATTTAAATTAAAAAATCATCTGACTATCTGATCAGCAAACTCCACTGAACTAATTAGAGTGAGTGAGGCATTCAATATTGCAGAAACCCGAGACTAATTCTAGGCCTGTTACCACACGAAAACTTGCGTTTCATCCAGTTGTTAACAGCTGCCCTAGTAAGAGGCACTGCTTCTCCCTACAGATCTTGTCCTAAATTTAAAACTAAATTATGTCCACATTCCAGAAAAAGAATACAGCGTGGAGGATGTTTTAAGTTAGATGACCACCGACTTCAAACTTCAGCAACACGGCCATTTTAGCAGAGTATTACAGCCAAGACTGATTTGGCGCGTTCATTTCTTCAGCAACAACAACTACGGGTAGTTCTTGCACTCTCTCTTCCATCCCTGCACCAACCTGTCCCTTCCACCAGCAGTGTCTGCAGCTGACTCCTGTAAATGTTATCTCAACTTCGGCTAAATCATTTCAACTTTAGGTTTTCAGTGAAAACTGTTTCCAGTCCCAAGACAATGAATATTGCATTTGTCAAAGAACTTCTGTAGCAAGAAGGAACTTCTCTTCCAGTAACAGGCAGACTAAAACCCAAAGCAAACCCTCCAAAGACAGATTCCCACCCCGCTCCCCAGAGCAATATCCCCTCTGTACACCCGGTATGTACTATTTTGCCAAGACCTACCCGCACGGAAAACGGCCCCTCTCTGAAGGACATTATCCTGTATTGGAACTTTGGTAAAATTCTCACCTTTTTTCTTAATTTCAGGGGCTAGAATTTTCCAGGTGTATCTACCAATGTTTCAATAGCTTTCTTTTGGCAGAAATAGATTCCATTGTAAGAACTGCATATGTTTCTGATAGATGTTTGGATAAACCAGTACAGTAAGTTATGCAGCTGCTTTGCACCAAAGAACACAGACAACTTTACCTCCTCGCTTTTAGCTTCCCCATTTTCTGCAGGCAAGTTGTCCTTTGTCTGTTCTTGGTTTGTCTCTTCTGTCTGTTTTCCTTTAGGCCCCTTTTTCCCCTTTGATTGAGCTTTCTTGTCCTCAGACTTATCCTACAACGAGATAAATTTCCAGTAAGTAAATTCCTATGACCTACTAGGTAAACTTTGAAAATACTAAAAAACCACACAAAACCAAGATGGACTCGCTAAGCAGCAAGAGCTGCTACCAACAACCCACGAGCCCATACATAGTTCAACTGCCAAAGAAGTTTTCCGAACTATATATAGACAAACAACCACAGTTTCAGACAGTCAGTAAAATGAGAGAATCAAACTGGGATGGGAAGATAACTAGATTCTACTGGCTAGACAGAGCACTTTATAATGTATGATTTAACCTCGGGGCGCGTAAGAAAATAGTAATGCAGTCCTTCCACTTTGTAAATACAAAGCACTTCAAATGCTCTTTTTCCTCTTATATTGATAGGGGGGAATTTCAGTAACCTAACCTAAATAAATGCATCACCTAGAAGTATCGTTTTCAGTGCTCCTTTGTTAGTATCTCAGTCACATCCTCTGTACCTACATGACTCTTGTTAAATGGGTAGAGAAGAAGCTATTTGTTGAAGAGCTACTTTCATATAAATACGTCATACATCCTCCCAGATGTTCCCTACAGCAACCAAACGCTACGAAGTTTGCCTGTCCTCCAGGTGACCCCCCTACTTACAAAATATTTCTATCAATTCAGAATTACGTAAAGGCACTGGTTTTGATACCATCTGTCAAACATTGCTTTATGATACTAACAAAAATTTTCAATAAATGAGAAACGGTGACACTTTTTCTGGGCAGGTACAGTGTGAGTAAGTGGCAAGAGAACATAATGCATTTATACCCCTAAGCAGAAGACCTAAGCACCTACCTCCTCGGGGGCCTCCCCGTCCGCCACCGTCACCTGCCAACACAACGCTGATCTACCTTAAAATGTGCCTCTGTCATTAAAAAAAATATTGTGTGCATTTCATAAGTACGTTCTTCAAGTTGTGTCCTAATTTGTTGTCTCCGACCTAAAAATTCACTCCAAGAAATAAAGTTCTCATTTTTGCATATTTCAAGTACTGTAGACGTGTATCTCAGATTACTGTTAGAAACCATTTGGTCAGAAGCATTCCATACTATCTTCGCTCCAAGTGCTCCTCCCTACAAAAAACATGCAGCTTCCTTACTTCACACGTCCAACTTTTTAATAGCTATCTGAATACATTTCCTATTTTACATGAACGCTCCCGTAAAATACCGTCTTCATGAAAATACGGTGTTGTCAACCAATTGCAACTACTGAGCAAAAGTTCTACGTGTTTTACACCACTGGATACAAACATGCAGTAAGTTACATTACTGTAATATACAGTGTATATATATACACACATATATAATGTAATATACAAGAGATGCAAGGTAAAAAAAAACCCAAGAAAATCACTGCTGAAGCATCTTATGTCAGGTAACTGAATCGTCAGCGTCCACAAAACTTCAGAGATTCTTTGCTCCTATTTTTAGAAAAGGTAATTTTTTAAATCCTCGAGAGCACAGAGAAAACAGCTGAAACATGCTAATGGAGAAAAAAAACCCCTCCTTTTAAAAAGTTGTAAAGGCTAAACTCACTGTTACCAATTCAGGTAACAGACAATTTCACAACACGCAGACTTCTGTGTTTTGATTGTCAAAATGTATTTTTCTTCATTAATACTTATTTTTAAAAAAACAACCAAGTAACTCCATAATGTGCAAACTTCTCCCAAACACAAAAAATACTGTCAGGGAAGTTTTACAAAGTTACAAAGTTAATGCAAAGCATCATCTTTTGATGGATCAAATACAGAAAAAAAGATAATAATTTAAAAAAAAATTAAAAATCTGTCAGTTGACTGGTACGCAACAGTGAAATACTTCTGCAACCTATTTAAAGGAAGTCCAGAGATAGCTAAAATGAGAAAGTAGTGAAGCTGGAGAAGTAAAACTCAATCAGAAGAGAAGAGGTTTTTATATTAACAATGAGAACGTTTGCAAATGACAAAAGATTTTAGTGACAGCATGAGTTTTAGAACAAAGAGGATGAAACGTAAAACAAGTTATACATTTATTTCAATTGCCAATGGTAATAGCAATTAAAAAAAAGAACAAACAACTGTTCACATATTCACATTACAGCAGCATTCCACAGGGGCCTCCTGCAAGGTGTTCTACTTAATATTCTAAGATGACAACTGTTCGTCATGTACTTGGTTTGCATGAATATGTTCCCAGCTATGAACTGTGGAAATGTTTCTTTCTAGAAGTAAAGTAGTTGTAGGTGGCAAGTCGGTATCACGCGTATCAGTCAGCACCAACTAGCAGCATTAAGAATCAGACGCACCACGCAAAGACACTGGGAAAAAAGAGAATCAGAACTGAAGTAAAATTGGAAAGCTTCCTCAAATTCTTTAGGCTTACAACTTCGAGAATGGGAATGCACTGATATTCAAACCATCGGAATGAAGGTGCATTACTGATAAGTAACTGTTCAGTAGGATTAATAAAATGAAAACATCAAAAAGTCTGCAAAGCGGAGTTCTGTAGTAGTGCTTGAAATGCTCTTAATCCATACGTCAAAAAGAAAAGCTTATAATCACAAAGGAACCCTTAAAAACACATACACCAACAAGCCAACACATACACAGCCTCTTTTGTTTCTCCCAATAAACAAAGGATTTCACACCTCGGTTATTGGCGCTGTGAAGGCTATACTGAAGAACTGAAAGATCACACTAAACCACGCTTACTTACACCTATGCACTGAGACCTGAAAGCTAGACTACATGAATGGAAACTCACATCTTTTTCAGTGGCCGCCGAAGGAATTCAAATATTTTTTTCCTGTCCTAACACACTGCTTTAAATTGTGAGTACGTTTTATCCCCTTTTGTTACAGTGATGAAGTACAATCCTACGTACAGTTGCTTCGACATTTACGTCGTTCTGCTCAGTACCAAACTGCCATCCGACACCCATGAATCAGTGCCCACATTTCTACGCAATACTGTGACCGCTTAACAAGGACCTACTCCAACAGCGGTGGAATGTACCTGTGGATACCAGCGGAAGCGTCTGAAAGTGATACTTCAGCTCAATGAGTGTTCCCGCGAGGAACACGCGAAGACGAGCACAAACGCTCAGACACCGTGCAGCGACGACACGAAACGGGACGCCAGCAGGCACTCGCACAAGGAACTCGACCACCGCCCTTCCCTCCCCTCTTCCCAGCGACTCTCACCTTTGCCGCTAACTTTTTTGCTTTCGGCTCCGCTTTGGCAGGAGCAGGTTTCTGAGAAGAAAGAACAAGGAAGGGAGAGATTCAGCCCTCGGTAATCCCCTTTTCGGTACCGGGGCACGCACGCACGCCCCCGCCCAGCCCGGCCCGGCCCGGCCCGGCAGGGACACCCCCCTCTCCCTCCCGTACTTACAGCGGACAGCC